GTTGTGCTAGCCAGTCCTGACAGATGGCTAATTTCCGAAATAGTCCAGCAAAAGCAGTTCTCTCCTCTTTCTTTTGAAGAGTGAGGAACGTACTGGTGCTTGGACACCATGATTGACAGCTGTTGCACAACTATGAAGCAGCCTTCTGGATCTCCCGGCTCCTGTGCGGTGAGCTGGTGTTCTGAATTCATGGAATCCACTGAGGTCAGGTTACAACCACAGCTGCCTGTGATGGAAAAATAAATTGCCTCCGTCAAGTACCTTGATATGTCAATTGGATTCCTCCTTCGCCACCCGTATAATGTTAGTCATCCACTGCCTAATTCATTAATTAATATATAGGCCCAGGCATCCACACATCCAGCATCACAACAGGGTGCAATCAAGCCCAAACTTTCCGTTGCTGAGTGAGACATTTGTTAAGTGACTTTTGCCCCATTTGACAATCTTTCTTGCCACAGTTGTTAAGTGAACCACTGAAGGTGTTTAGTAGCATGGTTGTTAAGTGGATCTGGTTTCCCTGTGAACTTTGCTTGTCAGAAGATTGCAAAAGGGAATCACGTGACTCCGGGACAAAGCCACCGTCATAAATATGAGTCAGTTGCCAAGCATCTGAATTTTGGTCCGGGGACCATGGGGGGGTGCTGCAACGGCTGTAAGTGTGAAAAATGGTAATAAGTCACTTTTTTCCATGCCGTTGTAACCTTGAACGGTCACTAAATGAACTGTCATTAAGTTGAGGACTACCTGTATATCTTGCGAATTAGACAATGAGCAAAGTGAAGACATGGGGAAATTGGGAAAATACATCCAGCGAACTGGGAAAAACTGGAGCGATGTTGGGATTGAAAGATGAAATTCAATTTATCCGACGAAGGGATTTATGAAAGGAGGGTCTGCCCCACAGCAGGACTATACATATGCACATACACACTCACACATCAAGATCACTAGAAGTGATAATACCGCTTTACACTGCCCTGGTGAAGCCGCACATGGAATATTGTGTCCAGTTCTGGTCACCAAGATACAAAAAAAGATGCTGAGATTCTAGTCCAGCGGTTCTCAACCTGTGGGTCAGGACCCCATTTGGGGTCGAACGACCATTTCACGGGGGTCGCCAAACAACGCAGTCCACCATTTTTTCCCCCTTTTCCTTAGCTGTGCTACTCCCTTTTATTTTATTGGCTTTTGAAAGCCAATAGAATAGACTCTCTTGAACAGAGTCTAATTCTATTGGCTTTCAAAGGCCAATAGGAATTGTCCAGGCTGTCTCTGCCCTGCTGAGCCTGCCAAAAGTCCCATTCTGCAAACGGTGCTGCACCAGTTGAGTAGTCCTCGACTTACGACCGGTTGAGTAGTCTTCGACTTACGACTGGTTGGGGTTCGCGGCATTAAAAAGGTTGAGAACCACTGTTCTAGAAAGAGTGCAGAGAAGAGCAACAAAGATGATCAGGGATCTGGAGGCTGAAACATACAATGAAGCTGTCTTCAAGTACTTGAGAGGTTGTCACAGAGAAGAGAGGTTTGACTTATTCTCCAAAACACCTGAGGACAGGACAAGAAGTAATGGGTGGAAGCTTATCATAGAGAAATCCAACCTAGAAGTAAGCAAAAAAAAAATAATTCTGACAATGAGAACCATTAATCAAGGAAATAACTTGCCTCTTGCTTCATCACTGGAAGTTTTCAAAAACCAGGATGGTATAAGACAGGGGTCTTCAAACTTGGCCCTTTTATGACTTGTGGACTTCAACTCCCAGCTGAGGAATTCTGGGAGTTGAAGTCCACAAATCATAAAAGGGCCACGTTTGAAGACCCCTGGTATAAGATCTCCTGCCTTGAGCAGGGGGTTAGACTAGAAGACCTCTGATGTCCCTTCCAGCCCTAGGATTCTATGTTCTATACATCGATACTGATGTCAGCACGCAGCTCCCTTCTAAAGGATCCTCCCCTAGACCTTGGATCAGTCTTAGTTTCAGATGGCATTGTAATTATTTATTTCTGGAATTTCCCTTGAGGTCCCCTTGGTTCTCCAAGAGCAAAGGATGGATGGTGGAGTTTGACTCCCTCCAGCCAGATTTGGCTGAAGTTTCAAGTTGGCTTGAAACTCAACATTAAGAAAACCAAAGTCATGGCATCCGGCCCTCTCAATTCCTGGCAAATAGATGGGGAAGAAATGGAGGTAGTGACAGATTTTATTTTTCTGGGCTCAAAGATCACCTCAGATGGGGACTGCAGCCAAGAAATTAAAAGACGCTTGCTCCTGGGGAGGAAAGCTATGGCAAATCTAGACAGCATTCTAAAAAGCAGAGACATCACCCTGCCAACAAAAGTGCGTATAGTCCAGGCCATGGTTTTCCCAGTTGCAATGTATGGCTGTGAAAGTTGGACCATAAGAAAGGCTGAGCGCAAAAGAATTGAGGCCTTTGAACTATGGTGCTGGAGAAGACTCCTGCGAGTCCCTTGGACTGCAAGGCGTTCAAACCGGTCAGTCCTAGAAGAGATCAACCCGACTGCTCTTTAGAAGGCCAGATCCTGAAGTTGAAACTCAAATACTTTGGCCACCTAATGAGAAGGAAGGACTCACTGGAGAAGGGCCTAATGCTGGGAAAGATTGAGGGCAATAGAAGAAGGGGACGACAGAGAATGAGGTGGCTGGATGGAGTCACTGAAGCAGGAGGCGTGAACTTAAATGGACTCCAGAAGATGATAGAGGACAGGAAGACCTGGAGGAACATTGTCCATGGGGTCGCGATGGGTCGGACACGACTTCGCAATTAACAACAACAACAAGCCAGATTTGGTTCTGCGTTTGTCACTTTTCTCCCTCCCAGGACCAATCTATTTTCTATCATTTGAGCCTAAAGGTCATCTGCTGGGAAGTGACAAGGGCCCTCATCTGCCCTGACGTAGTAGGAGATCAGGGTAGCAATGACAGCCAAGCAAATTCCAGGAAGAAGGAAGAAGAAGGAGAGGGATTTGCTCCAGCGCTTTTATGGCTGTCCTTATTTTTGCACAAGGGGGACTTTCGCAGCTTTGTAAAGTGCAACGTGTCAGGCAGGTCAGCTCTGATGAAAGAGGATCCTCCTTGTGTCTCTGTGGAAGGCCTGGCCTGAGATATTCCCCTTCATAGAAGACGTCATCTATTTTTCCAGGATGCTGATCAAAAAAAAAAAAGGGGGGGGGGAGGAAGAGAAATAGGCCTGGGGGCAGAGGGTGGGGGGCAAAGATTGTCTTGTGCATCATGACATCATGGCACAAAAGATGTAACTTCGATACTTCGATCAGACCTGATGATGCAGAACACAAATGCATCAATTGGACGTTGGGTTTATGATGCACTCTCTTCATTTGGACTGGTGTCTCTGGATATGTATACACATTCCTCGGCTTATGACCCCAATGGGGAGCAGAATTTCTGTGGCTAAGCAAGATGGATGTTGCGCCTGGTTTTATAACCTTTTTGCCATGGTGGTTAGAGAATCACTGCCGTTGTTAAGCGAGTCACACTGTTGTTAAGCAAACCTGGGTCTGCCCCCCCCCCCATTGAGTTGGCTTGTTGTAAACCATAGGACCAGGTAGAAAATGGTGATCATGTGATGCTGCCATAAATAAATGGTGGCTGATAAGTACCTGAATTTTGATCATGGGATGGTTCTAAGTGTGAGGACCACTTGCAAGTCAGTGTTTTTTTTCAGCTCTGTTGTAACTTTGAATGGTCACTAAAGGAATGATTGTAAGTTAAGGACTATCTGTATTTCCCATTGGGACGGAATTCTTTTTTTTTTTTTCCAAAGATAATTTTTATTAAATTTTTAAAATGTTACAAAAACAAAAACAAAACAAAACAATCTTCCCCCCCACCTCCCCAACCCTCCCATTCCCAGCCCTGATCTTCCCAGAGCTGAATATAGGCTTAATTAAAATTTGACCGAAAAAAATCTTAAGAAAAAAATATAAACCATAAATGAATCTAGCATTAGTTAAAAATCTAAATACATTAATTAGAAAAATTATAAAATAATTAACAATAGTATATATTTAAAAAAAAACAAAAAAGAGAAAAAGAAGAACAGAAAGAAGAAAAAAAAGAGAAAAAAAGAAAGCAAAATATTCTATTTTAAATATAAATTATTAAAAAACTAAATAATATTTTTTTATATCCAACTTATGTTGTATAAAATCTATCCATTTTTTCCATACCGCAACATACTTCTCTTGCGATTGATCCTTCAAGAAAGCCGAGATCTTTGCCATTTCCGCCAAATAAGAAACTTTGAAAAGCCACTCTTGCAAAGTAGGCAAAGATTCCTTCTTCCAGCATTGCCCTACTAACAACCTTGCAGCAGTAATTAAATTTAACATCAATGTAACCTCCTTGGTATCCCAATCAATAACAATACCTAACAAAAACAATTGTGGGGTAAATTTTACCCTCCTTCTAAAAATTCTTTGAATATTCCACCATATCTTAATCCAAAAGGCTTTTATATTTTTACACAACCACCAGATATGATAATAAGTAGCATCCAGACATCCACATCTCCAACATTTAGGCTGTAGGTCAGGATACATACGAGACATTTTTTGTGGATCAAGGTGCCATCTGTAAAACATTTTATAAAAATTCTCCCTTAAATTCTGAGCTTGTGTAAATTTAACATTTCTCCCCCAAATAATTTCCCAAGTATCTAATAAAACTGGTTCCCCAAAATTTTGTGCCCATTTAATCATACATTCTTTAACTAATTCTGCTTCTGAGTCCAATTCTACTAACACCCCATAAATTCTCCTAATGTGAGTTCGTCTTTGATCTTTTACTTGTTTAAAAAAATTCTCATCTTCTCTGAGCAAACCCACATTACAATCTACCTTCCATCTATCCACAATTTGTCTGTACTGAAACCATGAATATATAATATTTTCTTGTGCTAAATCTTCCAGAGATTTTAACTGCCAATTTTTACCATCCCATCTAAGTAGTTGTAAGTTAAGGACTATCTGTATTTCCCATTGGGACTGAATTCTTGAAGGCAGGGGAAAGAGTCTGGATTATCAAAGAAATGCAACCATGTGGCAATTTTCTACAGCATCTAAGCCATGGTTTATTTAAGTAGGGTTGGTTAATAATAGGTTAATTTCCACAGATATATATACATATATAAACACACACACGTACACACACACACACACACACACACCTCACAAATATATGATATAAACAGAAACAATAATAACCAGTTTCCTACAACTGGCTTAGTATGTTGTGTGAGCTGTGTCCCAAGTTTCACCTATTGTGTAAAGCCACAGTTTAAGCATGGTTTCTTAAACAAGCCAGAACTGGATGGCTTTGCCTCACACACCAAAGCATCAACCACATCTCCTAAGCACACAGCAGCTGAAATGATCCCCCCACAGTGAGCTAAACCCTATTAGCACAGGGTGTGACCTTGGACACAAGAGAAAGAAGATACTGTGCAAATTCAGGTGAGACAATGTCCTTCAGGTTTGCCAAGGAAATCAGTGTTAGATGATTTCCTAAGAAAGTGTGGTGAGGGGTAGCCAAGAACAATTCTCCTGATACATCAGCAATTATTCGTATGGCAAGAGAGTCATGGAGTGGGAATTCTGGGTCCTGACCAGCGTTTTCTTAGGGTTCGTCACAGGTCAGAATTTGAGGTCATTTCTTGGTGAGAAAATAAAAGCAGAGAAGAACATTCTGTGAGGTTCTGTTGAAGGAAAAGTCTTCATCATGGTTCAGTCCAAGCTGGGAATAAACAACATGGTGACTGCTTTAGAAAGGTTGTAGTTTATTAAAGAGGAGAGCCAGACAGAAAGATGACTCTGGAAGAAAAAAGAAAGCACATGTAATAGGGAGTGGTGGGTTTTTATACCTTCTTGGGCTTTTGTTTGGAGTTGTTCCTGTGTCATGGACTTTGACCTGAGTCTGAGTGTGCCTTTCTGGTATTCTGAGAGTGGTGGGTTAATCCTATTATGTCCCAAGGGTCATATCCTGCTTCCCTGGAACTGTGGCTGATGACTCTTAGATTTTTGGTGTGAGGGGTTGTTGATTCTAGGGATCTTTCTTCCTAGTCCCAGTTTCCTGACTCCAGTCTTTCATGAAAAGATTATCCCATCTGCATTCTGCAGACTTGGACAGAGAGACTTGGGGGTGGGGTTGGTTTATGCTTTTAAAATCCTTTAGGGAAATATATTCTGCCTTTTAAATATTTCCAAAAATATTTCTTTCTCTGGGGGGGGGTGTTGACTTCCCACAGTTCAAGAATCCTGGTGAGCTTGGACCTCTCTTCTTCAAGACATGGCCTCAATGGAAGAAACCCAAAGAAATGTCTCGCTTTTGTTGCGTTTCTATGCACCAGATGCCCCGTTCTGTTTTACCCCTGAGCGCATTAAACCCTCTAGTTTCCCCAGAATACCTTTAGATGATTATTATTTATTTACTTTTATTTTATTCAGAAAATTTATAGGGCCACCCAACTCACTCATTCGTGGTGACTCTGGGTAGCTTACAAAACCCTAGTGTAAAACCCAATATATTCCCATCCCCAGTGACAACAATGAGATCAGACAGTTGGTGGACTCCATAGCATCCTGGATCTCCAGACCTATTGGTTGAACCATGACTTGAGGGCCTTGTGAAGGCTCAATCTCATTTCTGCAGGAATGATGTTCCACAGGAAGGATGCCACCATAAAAAGGGCCCTTCTTGGTCCCACCCGAGTAGACCTCCTTCAGAGAAGGTAACATTCCCTGCTTCCTCACTCTGGTGGATTGGGTAGATATGACTGGGGAGAGATGGTCCTTCAAAAAAAAAAATCTGGTCTCAAGCCATGTCAGGCTTTAAAGGTGAGAACTAGCTCCTTGATTTGGACCTGGAAACAAATCAGCAGCCCACGTAGCTCCCAGAAGACACATGTACAAATCTAGACTTGCCACAAAACCATGCAGGCTGCATTTTGTACCAACTGAAGCTTCCAGATACTATTCAAGGGTAGCCTCAGGTAGAGCACATTGCAAGAGTCAAGGCCAGGGGTAGGCAACCTTGGTTCTTTTATGACTCATGGACTTCAACTCCCAGAATTCCTGAGCCAGCCATGCTGGCTCAGGAATTCTAGGAGTTGAAGTACACAAGTCATAAAAGAGCCAAGATTGCCTACCCCTGGTCAAGGCCAATCTATCTCCTAAGGTTCTACATGCAGTATAATTAGGAATAATAATAATAATAATCTCCTAGTGAGGTACCAACCTGATGTGGTGGTGGGGCTTGCGTGTTCCAAGGATCCGAGAAAGATAAGAGCTATGACAGAGGTTCAAGATACTGGACAAGTCTCAGCAGTAGAGCCAGACAAAGAGTGTCTGTCCCTTAAGCAATATGGTGAAACATAATTTACCAGATCGGTCATCAACAAGGACTATGCTAAGTATTGGGGTTTCTTCTGCTATGCTATGGACTGAGGCCTTCAGAAAACAGTCTGGGAGTAGCAATTGTGACAGGAAAAAACTGGAGGTGGAGTAGCTCCCCCCTCCCTCGACATTTCTCTGCCCGCAGCAAAGAATAAGCTGGCTTCCCTCCCTCCTTGCAAAAAAGCCAACTAAATCAGATGCTAAATCTTTCTTTGACACTGGCAGTGGGATGGCATTGTTCTTTGAAGGCAGCAGGAGTGGCTCACTTGTTATGCAAACTAGGTCTCCCTTTCAGCATGTTTCCATGCATTACTCACTCAACCTGTGTCAGGCACAAGCACCCAGATCCGCACGTGGAGGGCTCAAGCTTGACTACTTTACTATATTCTGCCTATAATACAAGAATCTCCCCAAACTGTTTGGGAACAACCAGATAAAGGCCCATGGAACATAAGGGAGGTGGGTCAGTCCTAGGTCTCTCGCGACTGCACAATGACTCAAGATTAATTCCTTGCTCGATCCTTCCTCGTTGCCTGGCTGGCAGTTTCCCAACCATCTGCCATTCTAGGTGATCACATTTCTCTGGTTAATGGTCCAGTTGGTTCTACAAGAGCTAGGTCTTCTGATATTTTGCTTGGCAAATGAAATGAGATATTTCCCTAGGTTGATATACCTGGTATACACACTCTGGGGCTTAAATGAATGAATAATCCCATGTTCAGAACTGACAGAGTAGAACATAGCAGTAGATGGGATGGGAGAACGGGAATCCAGCAATAGATTTTCGAATTTCCCAGAATGAGGGATTAGATAAGATGTTCTGGGAAGCCACAAGATGTTGACCTAGATATCTTTTCTTTCTCAATTTAAGCAAATAATCTCCTTACCTTCAGATATAAGGCTTTGCAAATGCCCTGATTGAAATTTCGTAACAGAGCTGTCCTGTAGAACATCTGACGGGAATTTGATATTCAAAAGAGGATGCCTCCAAAATGCTCTCACAGAAGAAGTGAAACTCAGCTTCATTCATCTACTACTGGTGCACCAGAATCACACCTAGGGAAATGGTAAGTGTGAGTCAAGCCCTAGGAAGCAAGAAAGCAACTCATTCTTACATTATTAGCCATTCACCAGCATTCACATTTAATCAGGTTTGAACTAGCTGCATCTGCTTTCGTCCTATTCATATCAATTAAGATTTCCATAGGAGAATGGAGCTTAAGGAGTGTTCTTTCTCTCATGATGTTGTTCTGGACAGTACATTTGGGATAAACCTATGCATGTTGATAATGCTAGGTGCACAAGTAATAAACAAGTCTTGGGACAGTGATGCTTAATGTGTGAATAGCTTAAAGGGTTTCCTTCAGTCTCTTGAAGTCTAGATTCAGGGTTTCAAAACTGTTCTCTTGGCATCATATGCACACCTACAGACTTATGTTCCTAAACGTTTTCCTACTGGATAGCATTACATTGATGGGGGATGTTCGTTTGGTTACACAAGTGCCTTCAACACTTCACAACCTAAAGGACATCATTTCATCAGGATTCTTTGTCTGTAACTACATCTTTGAGTTCATCATTTCCCATCATATCTTTCATCTGCGTCTTTTTTATTGTCTTTAATTTTTCCCCCAGAGTTTTCTTCAGTGACTTTAATCTTCATGTGACAGATTTAAAATAGTTAAGCTTTAGCCTCCTTATTCATTCTCGCAATTTTAAGGAATAAGTGTGGTGAATAGTTTGATTGTATTTCATCTAGGACTGGGTTAATTCATCTTTATTCCAAATTTGAATTGGCAAGGCCTTGGGATGATTGTGGTTAAGGTGGCATGTTTCTAACATTAGTGATCTTTCCTTAATGTTCTTTTTAAAATACATTTCCCTCTTTCTTTTCTTAGATAGTGTCATCCTCTATTGTTTCGTATTAGTATGAAAATTAAAGACAAAAAAGAGCCAGTTTGATGTGCTGCAATGGTCACGATATTAGGTATTGGGAGACAATGAGTTGTAGTCCTGCCTTAGGCACAAAACTAGCTGGGTGACCTTCGGCCAGGCCCTTTCTCTCAGCTCTAAGAAGGAGGCAATGGAAAAAATCTTTCTAAAAAATCTTGCCAAGAAAACTGCAGGGGCTAGTATAGGCAGTCTCTAGGACAGTGGTTCTCAACCTTTTTAATGCCGCGACCCCCAACCGGTCGTAAGTCAAGGACTACTCAACCGGTCGTAAGTCGAGGACTACTCAACTGGTGCAGCACCGTTTGCAGAATGGGACTTTTGGTGGGCTCAGCAGGGAGAGACAGCCTGGACAATTCCTATTGGCTTTTGAAAGCCAATAGAATTAGACTCTATTCAAGAGAGTCTATTCTATTGGCTTTCAAAAGCCAATAGAATGAAAGGGAGTAGCACAGCTAAGAAAAAGAGGGAAAAATGGCGGACTGCGTTGTTTGGCGACCCCCAAGATGTGTGTCCCGACCCACAGGTGTCCCGACCCACAGGTTGAGAACCACTGCTCTAGGAGAAGGAAGGAAGGAAGGAAGGAAGGGAGGGAGGGAGGGAGGAGCAAAAATATAAGAGTTAAAAAAAGAAAATGCGAAAGCTACTTTCAAAAATAATGTGGCAAAAATAGCCATGGAAAATTGAAAGAATGGTCAAAGATAACAACTTTTAAAATGTATTGAGACAATGCCTTCTTATAGAAATCTCTGGCTTTCTTCTAATCCAAAATCTGTTCCAGGAAGTGTGGCTGTATGTAGATATAATCAGATGTTTTACACAACAATGCAAAAGAGCAAAACTACTAATTAAACAAATTCAAGATGCCAAATGATTCTTAAAATAATCCTCTGTGTTAGAGGTAGAAAAAAAGACTCTGAATCCTGTCTCCCCATGCCACCATCTATTCCAGTGGTTCTCAACCTTTCTAATGCCGCGACCCCATAATACAGTTCCCCATGTTGTGGTGACCCCCAACCACTTATACATCACTGGGTGCCAGGGGCATGGCCAAAGAAAAGGGGGAAAAATGGTGGACAGCCTTGTTTGGCGATCCCCGTGAAATGGTCATTCGACCCCAAATGGGGTCCCGACCCACAGGTTGAGAACCACTGATCTATTCCAATATCAAACATTTACACCAGATTTTTAAAGTTGCATTTTGCTTTTGTTAAATCGGGAAAAATAATATATACTGCTCAAAAAAATAAAGGGAACACAAACATATAGGATCCTATACGTTTATGTTCCCTTTATTTTTTTGAGCAGTATATATAATTATATATATATAACTATAAAGACGAAACAAATGAAAAAGAATGCAAACTAATACCAACACACACACACACACACACACACACACACCTGGCAAGGTACATGATCACAGATACAGAGATACAATCTACACACACACACACACACACACACACACACACACACACACACACACACACATATATATATATATATATATATATATATATATATATTGCACTGTTATGCAATAAGAACAGTTTCAGAAGCCCAGTGAAAAGACCTGGATTCTTTTCCCAAGCTGATTGCTTTAATCCAAACAAAGCATTTATGACAATTTAGCTAATTTCTCTTTCTTTCCCTTAAGCAGCTGGACCTGTTCAGAGTTTTTAAACAAGTATCTTTCTTGATATCCTGATAAGAACCTCCAGAGGTATTCCAGGCAAATTCTGAAGGTTCATATCAGGATACCAAGAAAGATACTTGTTTAAAAACTCTGAACAGACACCCTAGTTGGTTGCCATTCCATTGAAGACTGTCAAATAGCATACCATCTGGTTTTGCTAGCCTTACACTGTAAAGATTACAAAATAAGAAATCTAACAATTCTGAGGAATCACGAATGAAATGAGATCCTAATTATACAAAGAGGTCCCACCATATTACAGATAGTCCTCAACTTATGACGGTTAGTTTAGTGACTGATCAGAGTTAGGGTGGCCCTGAAAAAAAGCAACTTATAGTTGTTTTTCACACAACTGTTGCAGCTTCCCCATCTTGCGTGATCAAAATTCAAGCACTGGGCAACTGACTCATACTTATGACGGTTGCAGCGTCCCGGGGGTCACACGGTCCTCTTTTGCGACCTTCTGTCAAGGAGGAAGACAGACCCATGTAACAACTCTGTTTTTAACTTAACAACTGCACAACTGTGGCAAGAAGAGGTTGTAAAATGAGGCAAAACTCAACAACTTAGCAACAGAAACCTTGGGCTCAGCTGTAAGACGAGGACCACCGATATAAGGTACAACCCTTTCCAACTTGGCGCCGGTTTATAGGTAATTTTTTTTCCTCTTCCTTGTCCTGTTCTTCTTCCCTGATCAGAAAAGGAATCTCAGCTATAAAATGGATCTGTTTCCTTTTCGTTCCTTTAATACAGAGAGTCAAGAAGAAAACAGGAAGGAAAAGGATGGCTTAATGTTTTTATGGACCCCGAGAAGGGAACAAAGTTTGCAAAGTATAATTAGAAACATTGACCTGGGACTTATCTGCCTATTATTGTGGTGTGGTTCCACCTACTGTTGAGTGAAGCCGAGCCTGGAATGACTTGGAGATGACAAGGGGGCGTGGCCTAGCTGCCTTCATAAAAAGGCCAACAAGCAACAGATGCTTCCCACAGGGAGGTGAACCTGTCACATCCAAAGGATGCCTAAATGTGAAGAGGGCTCCAGCTCACCTTGGATCACCTACTAGGAGCTTACAAAATCTGAAAAGCTCTTTTCTTCCAGGGCTCTTCTATTCCAACTTCTGGGGTCTAGCTGGTTGCCAGCCTTCTCTGGTACTTTTGATCTAAGTGTTTGTGATCCACCGATTACACTGATTGATCGGCCTCCCAGACATCCGTTTTCCTCCATTGTCTTCCCCGTTCCAAGGAAGAGGAACTCACAAAATGGGAAAGGTGAGTAAATTGGGAACTGAATAATCGAACAGTTGGCTTCTCTGGGGTCTTGAAGATTTACGAGCCTTTTTGGGGAGGACATGCAACAGGCAGCAAAATTTTACCAAGAGGGTTTTTGATGAAGGAGCTTGGTTTTCAGACAACCTAAAGACATTTTGGGGAGAGAAAGAGAGAGGGAGGGAGGGAGGGAGGGAGGGAGGGAGGGACGGAGAGATGGGGAGAGAGAGAGAGAGAGAGAGAGAGGGAGAGAGAGAGAGAGAGAGAGAGAGAGGGAGGGAGGGAGGGAGGGAGGGAAGGAGGAAGGGAAAGAGGGAGGGAGAGAGAGAGAGAGAGAAATCCTATAGAAAATACTTTTCCTGACTTTTGTACTTATGCAGAATTATAAACTTGATCATAGATGGAAAGAGAGGAGTCCCTCCCCCCCCCTCTCTCTCTCTCTCACACACACACATCTATCACTTAGGATTATCTAGAATAAATGACAATATTTCTCCAAGACCTCATGTAAATGATAACCAAACAGAAATGACAGAATAACAGATTTGGAAGGGACCTTGGAGGTCTTCTAGTCCAACTCCCTACTCAAGCAAGAGACCCTAGACCATTTCAGCCAAATGATTCTCTGGTCTCTTCTTAAATGATCCTTCTCATTATCTGCAACTCAGCCCTTTTGCTGGAGAAATCCGATGGTGAAACTGAAGTTTCTTCTGAGCGATGGTCCTTTGAATTCACTCATTGGGAAAGCATCAGCTGGGGAAGGATTCTGATAAATGTCTCATTTCAGAGGCAAGGCTTTTTAAAATCCCCTTGTCATTCTTAGCAAACTCAGGCACCCTAACCAGAATGACCTGAGACTGAAAGAAGCACCCTAATATCTAAAAATGAAAGACTATGTCGTATTCACAGGTTCAGGTAGCTGAAATCATTAACTCCCAGGAATTCATAGATGTTGGCCGCTATTTTGTAATATGCAATAGAGCTAATTATCTATTGCAGCAATATTTTTAGGCTTCTGCGTGCAAGTGGGGCAATCTTTTGGTGATGGCTGTGCATCTCTGGAAATTTTTAGAGAGAGGTGGACTCAAATATGTGAACAACTGGTTCTCTATGTGGCTGCTGCTTCTGGAAGTCTGTTCTGGGCCTGGGCAACAAAAAAATTAGCTACCGGTTCTGCCGAAGTGGTGCGAACCAGCTGAATCCCACCACTGGAGAGGATGGATAGTCACCTTTCATGATGGGTTAATTAACTGCAGAAGTTTGGCCTAGATGATCATTGTGGTCCCTTCCAGCTCTATACTTCTAGGCTTCTATGGCTGTAAGTCTTAAGTGCTAGGACAGCATAAGAAAAAGCTGGTCCTGTCCAAGACAAAAGAGATTGGAGGTCTTCTAGTCCAATCCCCTGCTCAAGCAGGAGACCCTATACCATTTCAGACAAATGATTGTCCAATCTCTTCTTAAAAACTTCCAGTGTCACAGCATTCACAACTTCTGGAAGCAAGTTGTTCCTCTGATTAATTGTTCTCCCTGTCAGAAATTTCTCCTTAGCTATGGGTTGCTTCTCTCCTTGATAAGTTTCCATCTGTTACTTCTTGTCCTGCCTTCAGGTGCTTTGGAGAATAGCTTGACTCCCTCTTCTTTATGGCAGCCCCTCAAGTACTATTACGTCACCTCTGGTTCTTCTCCATTAGACTATAGTTAGGTCCCTTAATTGTTCATCGTACAGTTTATCCTCTAGACCTTGCGTCACTTTGTTGTTCTTTTTTGCTAAATACAGAGAAAAGGGTGAATATTATGGAATATTATGGAACAGTACTTTGGAAATCCCAAATAGGAGAAGATGAGATTTGAGACGATATGAAGGAAAAATAAATGCTTGTAATTGAAAATATTTTCCTTTTTGTAAAACCCTCAAACAGTAATTAAACTTATGAATATTTAAGCTAAATTATGGGACTCCTGATAATAACAATTAGAGGGAAAAAATGGAATACGAGGGTTACAAAAAAAAAAAAAACCCACAGGGAGAAAAATAATTAAAAGATCTATCAATGGTAGACAAAATAAAAATAAATGCCATGTATGGTTGAAAAATGAAAACAAAAGGGCTTTTTAAAGGATTTTTAGCTGCATTCCTTATTGGTATGGCAACCAGAAATGCATTTGGTGATCTGATCCTCTACTATCAAGTATGGCCATGCTTAGCAATGCAATAATAATAAGTCTCAAAGAATCTGGAAAGGAATGGAGTCAGCCACTTGCAGGTTGTTTAAGTGGATTGCAAGTTTATAGATTTTATAGATCAGTTACAATCTGGGAAGTTATGTATATAAAAATGGTGAACTCCATCCACACAGTCTACCCGTAAAATATAAACGATTCACAGAGTTTGTAGAGGACATGGTTTATTTCTTCTATCCACTTTGCTTCCCTGTCTGGGTTTTCAGTTGATCTGATTCAGTTTGCAAAGAAATGTAAAATAACATCCCAGCAATCTGCTATTGTATTGTTTTTGGCTTGTTGTAGCCACACTGATGTGACTGTTGTACCACAAGGGTCAAAGGAGCACACAGTCTTCATTCTAATAACAGCCAGCTCACAGTACATTTTCAGATAAAGTTTTGCAAAATTGTTCCCCCCAAAAAGCGTGCACCAGTTTTAGAATTTCACACCGTTCTCCAAGTAGTTAGGAGAATTTGAGCTAGTAGAGGGTAGAATGGAAGTTTTTCTTGCAAGATGGAGCCCTTTTAAAGGACCCCCTGAAAATAAATTGGTAACTTAACCAAAATAAGTCAACCTAACTTTCCTGCTGAATTACGTTTTAGAAAAATGCAGGTATCTATTCGATAGAGATAAGTGAGACCAAGGATGTGGATGATGGATACAAGGAAGACGAAAAGGAAAAAGATTTGAAAGGCAACAAGAAGAAAAACAAGACGGAAGAGCTTAAGAAAGAGCTGGATTTGGTAAGTCACTCACAGATACCAACCTACCATTCTTGTTAATTCCTGGTTGCACAGGGCTAAGTAGGTGGATCGAATATTAAGATCGCTTGTTTTCCTGATTTTTTGTTTTTTTAGGGAAGACGATTATTAATACAAAAGTTTCAGTCTCGGAACAGGAAGTAATTTGCTTCCTAAATGACTCATCTCTATGACAACAAATAGTTTTGCTCCCTTACTGTCCAAATACAAATGGTGTTCCATATGCAAGTTAATTACATTTCAATTAGGTAAGCAAATACTGTCATTACCCTAATTTTGTTAAGCTGATGCCTCTGCCCACAAATCCTCAGACTTCAGTTCCAAAGCAGATCTGCTTAGGAAGCAGCCTCTGCCCTTGACAAATTGGCCCCAGATCTATGAATGAAGGCAACAGAATCGCAGAAAGAGAAGAGCCATAATCCACTTTGGGCCCATTCAATTAAATTAGGAAAATCAATGTCTTCTCTGGCCACAACATTTCCGCAATGCCGCGAATCTTAATTGTCGATAGCCAGAAAGCACTTTTAGATGCCTCTGCACACAGTTTGCAATCCTCGTTACAAGGAAGATATCAACAGTGCAATCTTGAATTTTCTCTTTCCTTCATGCCAAGTCTTGTTTGTCAAGCTCCACCCGAGATTTCATCAGGAAGATTAATATTCATTTGGATAGAAACGGTGGGGGGGGGGAGGAGAGAGAGGGAGGAAGGGAGGAAGAGAGAGAGAGAGAGAGAGAGGAATTAAAAATCATCAACATACTACTACTTGGCAGCGCTCTGGCTTCTTGGCTGAGGGTTCCTGCTGTATTAGATTGCTTCAAATGCGCCTAATCACTCTGCAATAGCCAAGTTCAGCTAGAGCAAAGCAAACACTGCTCCAATAACATTATCACAGGCTTTGCAGCCATCTAAATTAGATGCACATCTGTCCGGTTGCTGACATGGTGTTGCTTTCAGCAGATTGCTCTTTTGGAGATACTGCTGTGTATCTGGAGGTGAGTAGAAGCTATCCATACTCCCATGTGCATCTCATACCACCCATAACCCCTTAAATCGCCCTCCTTCAACGAAAAGCTTTCCAGATATGTGTGTGTCTTTTCCTGGGGAGGGGGGGTCTCCAAGCTTGGCCACTTTAAGACTTGTGGACTTCAACTCCCAGAATTCCTCAGCCAGCCATTCTGGTAATTGAAGACCACAAGTCTGAAAATGGCTAGGTTTGGAGACCTCTCTCCTATCCCATATTCCTGAGTTGATGGGATTGTCCGGGACAATGAGAACGAAAGGGCAATCCATCTTGAAGCTGTCTAATTGGGAAATGGCAAGATTTGGATTAAAAGAGAACTTGGGGCTTCAAAGGGGTTGGGGGTAAGGAATTTGGGAATAAAAAGGTATGCTAAATGTTGCAGCATCTCCCAAGTCCCTTCCTCAACTCTACCTTTGTGAGTATGCTTTCCCCATTTCAAAGGATCATAGGTACTTCCATGGGGCAATGCTACTTTCTCTTTGTTCCTTTTTATTCTTTGAAAAATGCAAGCTTTTCCTCCAGACTGGATGATTCTGATCTCCGTGAACATTTATTCCTAGTCCTTCTTTCCTTGCAACAATCATTAAACAGCAAGAATATATATATTTAAAAAGTGTTCTTTTAATTTAGCCAAGATTAATTTTTTGCTAATTTGCAATTCCCATAAAACGCATCAGCCATGGTGAAAATTGACCGGCACCAGATGCAACTTGCTTTCCTCCAAGAGAAATGCAGAGGGACATTTTCTTCAAGAAATCCAGTTCGGTCTAGTGGTTGGATTGGGAGGGAGGAAACTGTGAGTTCTAGTCCTGCCTTAGGCACAAAGCCTGTTGGGACAGTCACTTTCTCTTAGACCAGGAAGAAGAAGGCAAGGACAAAACACTTCTGAAAGAACTGCATGGACTTGTCCCTCTGGTCGTCAAGATCAGGTCTGACTTAAAAGTCCCCAAATCAACACCGACAACAACATTTTGATATATTCGGCTAGGTGGCAGCACTTAGCTGACCTGGTTAGCTGATGTAAAAAAGCTAAGTAGGATTGCACCTGGTTTATCTCTTGGATGAAGGACAATGGGAAAATCAGCGAAGTGGAGGATAAGTTGGAAGATGGGGAAAAATACCTTTTGGGAGAAGACAAGGACAAATTCCCTTTGATATTGTCAAGAAAACTGCAGGGATGTTTCTATGAAGCTTCCAGAAGTCAAACTTAACTAGAGAGCAAATGTATTTAAAAAGTGTATGCTCTCTAGTGGGCCTTAAGCTGAAGGTTTTTTTTTTAGTATTGCTAGGTGAGATTTCTGATTTATATTTATTTCAGTATTGAGTCACAATTCATTCCCACTTAAAAGTCACAAATTAAATCATTAAAAATGATCTCTTAATCTGGGGCGATGCAATGATGTGTAAAGCTAGTCAGAAGATTAAGTTGATTCTCTGCAGAAATTTGATTCTCGCCAGATAATTTCCAAGATAGGTTTGTTACAAGCAACTATTTAGGGTTCCTGAGTTATCATTTCAGCCTAGTCTTCAGAAGACCCACCAAGAGTTACCGCAATAACTTAGATTGTTTGGTCCTTATATCTGCTTCTGCTTTCAGCTGCTGCTTTATATTGATCTTATCTCTCAATAAGAATAGGAGGAATTACAGTATATCTTCCATTTTAAGCAAGACATCATTGCAAAATTTTGCCAGAGCAGAATTTTGGACAAATGAGAGGTTAACATTTGTGAATAACCATAGAGTTATTCAGTAAGTTAAAGAATTTTAATAAGATAGAGTACCTTAATACATTTTGGCAGAGCTGTAATTAACAAGTGGCTCATAACAAGATGCGACAAAGGAAACTAATCCAGTATTTTATGTATACATATTTTGTATTTGTGGCAAGCATGGAATCAGTTTGAGAAGCACATGATACTAATAAAACCAACAAATTAAAAAAAAACTTAATGTCTGCCTTTTTCTTACCGTTTCAGGAGGACCATAAACTCAGCATTCAAGAACTAGAAGAAAAATATGGCACCAGCATCATGAAAGTAAGTAAATATTGGTCAGAGAAAGTTCAAAAATGTTAGGGCTGAGGAGTGCAATGCTATTAAAATCTATTCAGTGTGTCACTAAAAATAGAATTTGTGCTCTTGTCCTTGAAGTAATGCTCTTTAAATATTTGTTGCCATTGTAATCCATAATTGCCTGTTCTTAGGTTTCAGGCCATCCATGTGCGTGATGGGCATGCATGCGCATGTGTGTGTATTTGTGTAAATGAATCTAATCTGTACAGACAAGCACAGAGAGACAGACCAACATTAGTTCAATGATAAATTGCATTAAGATTCCCCCCCCCCCAGAATTTACTGTTTTGTCAATTTCATGTTTGCTTTTAAAGTGGTAGGATTGCTGAGCTGTTAATTTTAACTCTCTCCCTTGTCTGCTGAAGGGCCTGACGAGTGCAAGAGCAGCAGAGATCCTGGCCCGTGACGGTCCCAATGCTCTCACGCCCCCCAAAACGACCCCAGAAATCATCAAGTTCCTCAAGCAAATGATAGGGGGGTTCTCCATCCTCTTGTGGTTTGGAGCTATCCTTTGCTGGATCGCTTTTGGGATTCAGTATTCTCAAAAAGTGTCTTCGGCGTTTGATGATGTAAGTTTTACAGGGGATTCTTTTTTTCCCACAAGGGTCTTCCCCAATAAAAATAGCAATAGCACTTAGACTTATATACTGCTTCCCAGTGCTTTACAACCCTCTCTAAGCAGTTTACAGAGTTGGCATAAATTGCCACCAACAAATCTGGGTCCTCATTTTACCGACCTTGGAAGGATGGAAGGTTGAGTCAACCTTGAGCCGGGCAGGATCAAACTGCTGGCAGTGGGCAGAGTCAGCCTGCAATACTGCATTCTAACCACTGCGCCACTATGGGAGGAAAGGAAGGAAGGATAGCAATAGTATTTAGACTTATATATCACTTCACGGTTTTTTACAGCCCTCTCTAAGTAGTTTACAGAGTCAGCCTATTTTCCTCAACAATCTGGTCCTTGTTTTACTGACTTTGGAAGGATGGAAGGTTGAGTCAACCTTGAGCTCTGTAAGGATCGAACTCCTGGCTGTGGGCAGAGTTAGCCTGCAATACTTCATTCTAACCATTGCATGACCGTGGCTGGACATCCATCCATCCATTCACCTCCCCCCCTCACAATAGCACTTAGGCTTATATACCCCCTTCATAGTCCTTTACAGGCCTTTCTAAGTGGTTTACAGAGTCAGCCTGTTGCCCCCCCCCCCCAACAATCTGGGTCCTCATTTTACCGACCTCAGAAGGGTGGAACTCTGAGTCAACTGGCAAGAATCGAACTGGCAAACTACTGGCACCCGGCAGTCAGCAGAAAGTGCATGCAGTACTGCATTCTAACCACTGCGCCACCATGGCTCTTACAATGATACAAGTGATCCTTGATTTACAACCATTCGTTTAGTGATGTTCAAAGTCACAATGACATTGAAAATAGTGACTTATGACTGGTCCCCACACTTATGACTGTCACATCATCCCGATGATCATGTGATCAAAATTCAGGCATTTGGCAACCGGGATGTATTTACATGAGTTGCAGCATCCCGGGGTGATGTGATCACCATTTGTGATTTTCCCAGTCAACTTCCGACTAGCAAAGTCACTTAATCATGCAAAAAAGGTCCTAAAATCAGGTGTGACTCACTTTAGGAGCAATTTGCTTGGCAATGGAAATTCTGGTCCCATTCGTAGTCCTAAGTTGAGGACTATCTGTATAACATTTTTATCGTGGATTTCATGTTTCATGATTGTTGCACCTGAGGATAAAATGTTTCTTCCTGCATAGAGAAAGTTGGCACAATAAAGTGTAATCTTTATTGAAAAAAGTACCAAAGATTGTTTCTAAGATAAAATAAGAACAAGTGAACTTGATGGGAGATGACCAATAGTGTAAGCTTTTATGGAAATTGTTACTGTTGTTCTTGCAACGTAAAGTGGTAAGACTATCTTTAGTCTAGCTTGGTTCCCAGTAATTTCATGGGCAGGTCCATGTACGGTTATTATTATTTTTGGCAGCAGTAGAGGAAGTGTTTGTTATGGTTTTCCTCTGCAGTGTTTTATCACCTTCTCAGTCTAGCCTACAGCACTGCCCAAGTATCAGCCAGTTTCAACCGGCTTAGCTTTTCAAGATCAGGCAAGGTCTCCTAAATGCGGCCACTTAACTGGGTCCTTCTTGGATATGAATCAGCTAAAGCAACACATAGATAAAATTAAGGAGCAATGAGTTCATGGTGGAGAACTCTCCAGAAATCAGGGTAAAGGTGCATATATTTCAGAGGGAGGGGTAGGTTTCAGCAATGCTGGATTGTAAGACCTTATTCACCCCTTAGCAAATCTGAATTCTCCTAATCTTTGGGTTCCTGGTTCAACTCCTTCTGGAGAATAGCCCCTGGTAAGCCCCACAAGGCCTGATGTAACTTCCAAGCTGATGGAAGTTGTACTACTTGGCTGAAGATCATCAGTAAAGTCATATCTTTCCATTACATTGCTTTGCAATTTCTTTCTTTCTTTAAATGACCACGAGTCCTGATTCCCTTGTAGCTAAACAGCACATTCATAGAAACATAGGGCCGAAAGGGACCTTGAAGGTCTTCTAGTCCAACCTCCTGCAGGAGACCTTATTCCATCCCAGAAAAATGGCAGTCCAATCTTTTCTTGAAGACCTCCATCGATAGACATCCCCTCTGCAGGCACAGATTTAGAAGATGTAGCATCACAATTTCCTCATGACTGATTTGTTCTCATGGCTTTGGAAGACCTCTGTAAAAGATTACTTTTGTTTCTATCTAACCTGGATAATCTCCCTTTCCAGCTCTACCTGGGTATCATCCTTTCCCTGGTCGTCATTTTGACTGGGATGTTTGCTTATTATCAAGAAGCTAAGAGCACAAACATAATGGCCAGCTTCGGCAAAATGATCCCACAGGTAAATTTCCAATACTGTACTAATGCATTTAAGTAAAGGTACTTAGAGATTTTATTTTATTCGATTTCCTAGAGCGAGTAGATGAAATGAGATTGGTCCAGGAGTCAATACGATTAAAAGAGAAGTTAGCTCTCTGTTCCCATTATATATATCGGGTTCAAAAATGGAGCTTATACATGACTTCAACCTAGAGCAGTGATTCTCAACCTTTCTAATGCCGTGACCCCATAATACAGTTCCCCATGTT